CGAAGTGCCCTGCAATACAAGGCAACACACATCAATGCCAAGCAATGCGGCGACGAGGCGGCCGGCGGCGACGAGGCGTCCACGGGGCGGCGACGGCGACGGTGCGGCGACGCGGCTCCCAAGGCGAGAACAGACCCGCCGGACCAGCCCGCTTGCCCTGGCGTCGGGCGGCGACGAAGCGGCGACGGGGCGGCGGCGGCGAAGTCATAGCCGACGGACCGACCCGTAGGCTCAGTTTTTCCGAAAGAAAGAAGAAACCCTCAGCGCCAGCTTTGTCCAGCTGCCTGCGGCAAGCCCTCTCAGCCAGCCTGAGCAACGGCGTAGCCGGAAGGAGTTTCAACGCTTGGCGCTTCGCGTACCCCCACTGGCCTTACTGTTCTCTTGTTGTCTCTCTTTTCCTCTCTCTCTCTCGTGTGCAATTGAGGCTCCTGCTTGTTGGCTGTAACTTTGGACGGCGCGCGGCCCTTCCGTTTGCGTTCGCGAACAAAAAGTATCCCCACTAGCCCATCCAGCAACGATGCCCAGGGGAGCTGGCCTTATCGAGGGAGCGCGGCATTTTTTTGACAGTTTTGGGGGCTTCTGTCGGCCAGAGGCTTCTCGGATGGCACTCGAAGTTCCTTTGGATGTCTCTCGGGGTCTCTTAGAGGCTTCTTGGGGCGTCTTGAGGCGTCGTGGGGTCTCTCCTTGCGGCTGTCAGGGCCCCTTGGGGCGCCTTAGGGGCCTCGTGGAGGCCTCCGGGGAGCGTCTTCGGGGCCTCTTGTGGCGGTCTCTTGCGGCGTTTTGGGGCCTGTTGGGGGGCGCTTCGTCTCCATTGGTGGCCTCTTGGGGGCCTCTTGGAAGCCTCTCAGGAGCCTCCTGCAGCCTCGCCGGGGCATCTCGGGCCAACGTGAGGTCATCTTTGGCGTCCCTCCTCTTCCTCCTCTTCGTCCCCCTCCTCCTACTTTTCCACCTTTTCCTTTAGCATTGTGGACATTTATACCGTGAGGCTGATTTACGTGCCAGCCCTCAAGCTCGATTCACAGCATAATAGGCGAGAACCTCAACAGCCGTCAGACATCGAAGCGCGATCGATGGCTTCTGCCTCCTCGGAGCCTTGGGAGCCTTCTTGGGCCGTCTTTGAGTTTTCCTGGGCTGCCTTGAGGCAGTCTTGGGAGCCTCTTGAGTGGTCTCGGCTGTCTTGGACGCCGTCATGGAGGCCATCCTGGCCCTCTCAAGGCGGAAGAGCGTGCCAGAGACCAAACTCAGGGGGTGTTGTTTTAGGGTAGCGTGCGTCGACGGGGGTGTCGGCCCCACTCCCCACGGCGGGTCGGGCAGTTTGGGGCGGGGGGTGCGCGTTTGCTCCCCTGCGTCCTGCGGAGCTCTCGACCTCCTCTCTCGCTCCTGCACCTCCGAAGCCTTGGCAGCGACGACGGCGGCGGCGACGACGACGACAACCTCGACGACGACGACGACGACCTCGACGACGAAGACGGCGACGACGACGACGAAATGTGGACCCCCGGGCCTCGGCAGCGACGGCGGCAGCGCGGCGTCGACGACGACGACGACGCCGACGACGACGACGACGTCGACAGCGACCAGGACGACGACGACGACGACGCCAACGATGACGACAACGCCGACGACGACGAAGCCTGGACCCCCGAGCTTCGTCAGCAACGGCGGCGGCGGCGACGACGACGACGACGACGACCACGACGACGGCGACGGCGACCAGGTCGACGACGACGACCACGACGTCGACGAAGTCTGGACAACCGAGCCTCGGCAGCGACGGCGGTGGTGGCGGCGGCGTCGACGACGACGACGACGTCGACGACGGCGACCACGACGACGACGACGACGACGGCGACGGCGACAACGATAACGACGACGACGATGACGAAGCCTGGACCCCCGAGCCTCCGTATCCATACTGGCTCAAGAAATAGGGGCTCAAGTTACGTTTGTAGTGCTCATGAAGTCTTCGTTGCCAATGGCATGGTTGGTCGGTGTCGTCACATGGGGATGGCATCGGCCCTCACGGGGTCGTGCGGTATTATCGTGTTGATGGCAAGCTTGTTTGCTTCTCCAGTTTACTGCTCCATCTACAATGGGAGTGGTATTATGTTTCCAAGCGCCGCAGAGTTTTTTCCTGCTGATAGACTTAAGATATCAGAACCGCCCGATACTGAAGCGTATAGAACGTTTTATGCTCAGGTAGTTCAAAAGTTGATGATCTATTAGCCATTCCATACTCTGTAGCAGAAGAGCAAGAGTTTCATGTATCATTCAACAGAGAAGCTCCAGCTGGCATCAGCATGCGCGCCGATCAGGTGTATTGGCAGCGACTTTGTTCCAGAGGCGAGGAGCCACTTCACAGCCACCATCACATCAGCATCAGTCTTGGTGCACTGCGGCGGGGTGGGGAGCTTTCCGTAGCGCGCGATTGCCTCGCCAGACGTGGCTTTTATTTGCTAAACTTTGATGAAGGGATTGCGGCTTTGTCGGCGCCAGCGATCTCAGTCGCCGAGGCGTCCTTTGCAGGTCCAGGCAAGGGCACAGCATCGCGAAGCGAGTTCAGAGGCCACGGGAACACAAAGTTCAAGGATAGCCTCTGTTTGTTGACTGGCGAGTTGGTTGATGCAACGACGTTGCCCACTATCGTGGCCGAGCCGCTCTTGCAGCCCGCAAGCGGCACTTGATGCGGCGCAGGTCGATGTGGCACGCAATTTGTTTCCACGCCAGGCGCAGCCATTGTCAGCTTCAGAATTTCCGGATGTGGCACTGTTTTCAGGCAGCCCGCGTTATGGTTTGCTTGATTTTGTGCGGTGTCACATGGGCGAAGACACGCCGACAGAGATTGCATGGCCGCATGCTGACCCAGGCGTCCTCCTATTTGGCTTGCCTTCTAGTGCGGGTTCGGAATTCGCAGATGAGAACGAACTTTGGGTAGCGCCACCACCGGGGCATGCTGTGCTACGGGCTGGGCAAGCTGTGAGCTTTGCTGTGCCTGCAGTTCATCGGGTTGTCGCCGCAGGTGCGCTGCGACATGCTATCCCGCATGAGTTATGCACAAGATCCCAAATTGCCCCGCCAATGCTTGATCAGCGCAGGCAGCACGGGTTAGTGCTCACAGTGTTCGTGATCCGTGGGGCTGATGCAGTTCTGCAAACACTTCGCGACGCTGAAAATCACCAGAGGCCAATTCAGTTTGAAGCGCGCTCTATTGCCGTTGGCTTGCATCGACCGAAGACTCTGAAGTTGGACATCGTGCCTGCAGCAACTTTTTTTGTTGGAGTGGATGCGTCAGAGGTGAGACATGTCGGCTCAACTGCTCTGTCATTGTCAGAGGTTTGTTTTTTGGTTTGTTTCCGGTTGCTGATGCGATTGAAGGACTGGTTACCACTTCGCCAGGCATTGGTGGACACGCGTCGGAGGCTCAGAGCATGAGCGCAGCCAATGTCCAGCATCAGTGAGCCAATGCTGTGGCTGCCGAGTTGCAGCGTCGCTATTGGGTAGCGTTGTTGGAATGCCTCCGCACGACGACTACATTGATGGTTGGGTCGCGGAGTGGCGGGCCGGGCTCAAGTTGCGAAGTCATGATGATGGCATAAATGATGTTGCCACACATGCCGGATTGCTTAGGAGCCGTGGAGGTTGTGACACCTGGGACAAATTGTTGAACGAGCGATGCGAGGACTATCTAGCAGAACTGGTCCGCGTTGGAGGCAATCTGGACCTTCAAGGACGTGCCTGGTTATGGCGCAGACCAGTGGCCGTGATGAGGATGTCATCGCCGTGCTTAATGACATGTTGCAGCGATATTGGCTTGCTCTCTGGAGGTTGTATCGTCCCGGATGCATATCGCGGCGCACGCGCGGGTGGTTTCACATGTACACCAGAAGCCTTCAGTCTCCGCAGGACTAGCAGCAGCATCCGCAACCAATTTCATCGTAGTATACATGTTTGGAGGGCGTAGCTGCCACGCAGTCCGACGATATGGTAAAGGTGGACGGGCAGGTTGTGGCGTATGCAGGCCTGAGTGGTACTGGAGACAACTACCATGAACTACTTATGGCGACCGCTCGATGTCAGCCGCCGCTTGTGCAGATCCGTGTGTTTATTGTGGAAGGTAACGGCAAGTGTACAGACATCAGCGAAGAGCCCAGGGACGGCATGAACATATATTATTTTAGCAAAAAAAAAGCCTGGGCCCCCGAGCCTCCGCAGCGACGGCGGCTGCGGCGGCGGCGGCGGCGACGACGACGACGACGACGACGGCGACCAGATCGACGACGACGACGGCGCCTGGACCCCTGAGCCTGGGCAGCGACGGCGGCGGCGGCGGCGACGACGACGACGACGACGACCTCGTGGTCATCGAAGCCCTGGATGCCAACCGCGACATTCGGATGCAGTTCCTGGGAGGTTTGATTGAGCAGCGGCGCCCGTATATCGGTGGCTGAAAACGGGCACAAGCCAGCATCGTCCCGCTCCGTTCCCACCCGATCCCGCTCCATCTGGCCTGATCGGCTGGGCCGATGCGGCTCAGTGGCCCCTTTGCGGGGCTTAACAGCCCTCAGTCGTTCACGCGAACATCTCCCAGGAGTTGCCTCCTACAGTCAACCCGCATAGTACGGATGGGCAACTTTCACAAGGGTGCCCTCGCATCCTTGCGTCCTCGGTCAATCCTTGGCCACTTCATTGGCCGCGCCCCGCTCGAAAACCTTCGAGATTGGCGTCCAAGGCCCTTGCATCCTCACCGCGCATCCTTTGATACGGGCCGGCTGTGAACCACGGCGACGGCAACGACCACGACGACTACCTGCGGAGCGGCCACGACCACGACCAACACGGCTCTACGACGACCGCCACGGCGGCGGCGGCCACGACGAAACGACGACGATGACGACAACGCCGACCACGACGACGACGACGACGACGACGACGACGACGACGACGACGACAGTGTGTCCCCGTGCCTGCCGGGCGCGGCGCGCGCCGCGCGCGCTCTGCAGCCCCTTCGGACGTGCTCTGGGGCGCGTGCATGAACCCCCTGCTGATCCCCGACTCGTGCCGGACCAAGGGCATCCACCCCCCGGGCACGCCGCGCGAGGCCCATCTTCCATCCAGTGCAAAGGGGTGTGGCGCCAATGTCATGTGAAGGGGGATCCGGCCATGTTATCCGTCGTGGGTCATTTTCCCATTCCCACGATTGGCACCACACCCGTTTATGCCACCCCCTTTCCGACGTCCCGGATCCTCGGGGCTCGCTTCTATCGGAGGCGCAGCAGTTGCATTTTCGGAGCTCCGCGCGGAGCGCTCCAGGAGCTGCGGTGGAGGCGCCGATGGGGGGGTCAGCACCGGCCCGAGCAATCTGCGCGGATCTCCGAAAGGCAGGGCTTATGCCATTGGTGTGGGCCTCCCAGATGGGGCCGGAGCAGACGGGGTCGGAGGATCGCGCCGCCTCGCCGATGCCGATCCCACCTGGGATGCCTCTAGCATTTAGCACGCAGCAGGGGTCAGCGCGAACGTGGGTCGGCCACCTCCGAGATCCTCTGGCTGACCCACATTTGTCAGGAGGGAAAAACACAGACACAATTAATCGTCGATTCCCCAGAAAAGATGGAAAAGTATGGGAAGTTGGGGGGAAGACAAAAATCCAGAACATGTGGAAAAAGATGGGGAAACTTGGGATTTGTGTGTATTTATTTGTGTGTCCTCGGGCCCCTTGTATTTGATTCGGGAGGCACCCAGAGCCGAGCCCGCTCCCCCCCTCGGGCCTGAGAGCGGCTTCGTGGCTGGACACGGGCTCGAGTCGCGGCCTTGGCTCACCTGGGCTCACCCGGATGTGCGCTGACTTGCGTTCCAGCATTCTTGCCCCCCGTCTCCTCCCCTTCCTCCTCCTCCTCCTCCTCCTCCTCCTCCTCCTCTTCCTCCTCCTCCGTGGGTGCGTGGTGGTGGAGGGGAGGGCAGAGGGGATGAGGTGCAAGCCAGGTGCGCTCGCGCCATATCTGGCTTTGGGCGATCTTGGCCTTCGGGGGCTGGCAACGGCCCCGAGAGGCCGAACTTGCTTTATAGTCCTTCCGCTCGCAGCTGGGGGGGTCCCTTCCTCTAGCCCCGAATTCGGCTACGCGCAAGGGTGATTGGGTGACCTTTCGCTGGAGTGATCTAGGTCCACAGGGTTTCCCCCAGCACCCACTGGTTTGCGCAAGTGTATCCGCGGCCCGCATAGCCGCATACCAAAGATCACTCTTCACTCACCTCATGAGAAAAACATTGAGTTTCACCTCTTGTGAGCTTTCTTGGGAGGAGGAGGAGGAGGAGGAGGAGGAGGAGGAGGAGGAAGAAGAGGAAGAAGAGGAAGAGGAGGAGTAGGATGCATCTCGATAGCCGGCCAATGGCGCCAGAGGTCATGGAGAACTGGGACCGAGACCTGTGACGTGGCCGCCAGCGCGCCAGCGCGCCGGACACGGCTCGACAGTGCACGCTGCGCGCCGCGTCTGGAAAGGAACGAGGAGGAGGAGATCGGGCGTTGCGTAATGGCAAAGTGCACGTACTTTCTGTGCTCAGCAGGGGCCCGAGAGGGGCCCCTGGGGCCCCAGAATGGCAAGAATGGTGCACGGTTGTCTTCGCTCCCCCCAGTTTATGCCCCCCTGTTAGGCAACGCCCAAGGAGGACTGGCCAGACCTCGCGCTGCGAGGAAATCATGACGGAAGGCTCTTGCTTGCTCGCTGTCGGGGTCCTGCAGGGACCCTTCCTTGGATAGAAAAAAGAAAACGCCACAAACAGAAACTTTTGGCGCTCCGCACGGACTGCTTGGATCTGCGCTGGACCCCCCTCCCTGGCGCGCTCCGCGCGCCTGGGATAGCGCCGGAGGCGCCGCCAAGATCTACGCGCGGGGCACCCAAAAGTTAATGTTTATGCCGTTTTCTTTTCTTCCATTGGAGCGTCCACAGGCAGTCGAGGGAGGACAAACCGTCTGGACCCGATATCTGGCGTGACCGAAAGGCGCTGGGCATTTACTGAACAGTCCTGCCCTGTTCGATTCCTTGATTGGGTGAGTTTACCAAACGGCCTCGCGTGTCGGGGTGCCTGTTATGAGGGTGGATTTTCGGCTCTCTAGGCAGGGGCCGATACGGGCAATGTCTATATCCACATCCAGCGCGTCTTGGAGTCTCGTGCTCTCTTCCCCAGAAGCATGAGGCGCACTGGATATGGGCCTGGCCCCAAAAGCTCGATTATTATCCGTATCCAGTGCGCCTCGGCCTTGCGGCGGCCCTTCCAAGAAAGCAAAACGACGCACTGGATGTGGATATGAGTATTGCCCGCAGCTGAGGTCCTCCAGGCATCCGATGGCCAGGGTGGCTCGAGCATTGATTGAGCACTCCTGGATTGTTTTTGTTGGGGCTATTTATTGACCATTTTAGATTTTTTCTTCCACCATCCCTCTGTAGGAGGGCACGCCCGACCTGACTCTAGGCAGGAGCCGTGGCCTCCAGCCTCCAGGCATCCCATGGCCAGGCTTTTTTCTGTCCACCCCCGGGAGGTCCGCAGGAAGAGCCACGGGCCGGCGGAGGGCCCCGCTCTGGGCGAGGGGTTATTTTTCCGGGAAAAGGGGTTATTCTCCGGGAAAAAGGTTATTTCACTGGGTGAACTACCGAATCTTTGTAGATTCTTGGGGATCCTTCGGAAAGGGTTAGTTCTCCGGGTGAGGCTTCATCCAGGATCCTCACACTTGTGTCAAATCTGACTTGCGCAAATCGCAATGAGCTGCCCTTACGGCGCCACAGAAATGACCCATCAGTCTGGCTTCTTTTGCCCGGAGAAGTAACTCGTCTTGGTAATAGTACTGAACTACATGTGGCGATTGAGTTGGTAGCAGTTCGTAGCTAGCAGCTCGTAGTTAGGAGTTAGTAGATAGTACGTAGTCATTGGTATTTAGTTATGAATAGTGATCTGGACACTATTTTACAATATGTTGTTCGTAGCTTGTCGGATGTAATGAGTAGTAAGTATTGAGTAGTTGGCATGTTTTAGGTAGTAGTTAGTAGCTAGTGGTTTGTAGTCATTTAGTAGCCGTAGTAGTAGTAGTAGTAGCAGTAGCAGTAGTAGTAGTAGTAGTAGTAGTAGTAGCAGTCGTAGTAGTAGTAGTAGTAGTAGTAGTAGTAGTCGTAGTAGTAGTAGTAGTAGTAGGAGTAGTAGTAGTAGTAGTAGTAGTAGGATTCGTAGTGGTGGTAGTATTTGTCGTAGTTGCTGTAGTAGTAGTAGTCGGTATAGTAGTAGTAGTAGTAGTAGAAGAAGAAGAAGTTTGTACTTAGTAGTTAAGAACTTGTAGTAGCAGTAGTAAACGTAGTAGTACTAGTGGTGGTAGTCGCAGTAGTAGTAGTGGTCGTAGTAGTGGTCGTAGTAGTATTATTATTAGTAGTAGTAATAGTAGCAGTAGTAGTAGTAGTCGTAGTATTGATAGAAGTAGTAATAGTAGTAGTAATAGTAGTCGTAGACGTAATCGTAGTAGTAGCAGCAGTAGTGGTAGGAGTAGTAGTACTAGTAGCAGTAGTAAGGGTAGTAGTAGTAGCAGTAAAAATACGCGTGGTAGTAGTAGTAGTCGTAGTATACGTAGTAGTAGTAGTCGTCGTCGTCGTCGTCGTAGTAGTCGTAGTAGTAGTCGTAGTAGAAGTAGTAGTAGTAGTAGTAGTAGTAGCAGTAGTAGTCGCCGTGGTAGTAGTTGTGGTAGCGGTAGTCGCAGTAGTAGTAATAGTAGTAGTAGTAGTAGTAGTAGTAGTAGTAGTAGTAGTTGTAGTAGTAGTAGTATTTGTAGAAGTAGTAATAGTAGTTGTAAGAAAAGTCGTAGACGCAACCGTAGTAGTAGTAGTAGTAGTCGTTGTCGTCGTCGTCGTAGTAGTAGTATTAGTAGTAGTAGTAGTTGCAGTGGTCGTAGTAGTAGTAGTAGTAGTAGTCGTAGTAGTAGTAGTAGTAGTAGTAGTAGTAGTAGTAGTACTAGTAGATGTAGTAGTAGTAGTAATGGTAGTAGCAGTGGTCGTAGGGGCGGTAGTAAAAGTACACGTAGTAGTAGTAGTAGTAGTAGTAGTAGTAGTAGTAGTAGTAATGGTCGTAGTCGTAGTCGTAGTCGTGATGGTAGTAGTAGTAGTAGCAGTAGTAATAGTAGTAGTAGTAGCAGTAGCCGTCGTCGTGGTAGTGGTAGTGGTAGTGGTAGTGGTAGTGGTAGCCGTAATAGTAGTAGCAGTAGTATTGGTAGAAGTTGTAATCGTAGAAGTTGTAATCGTAGTCGTAATAGTAGTCGTAGACGTAATCGTAGTAGTAGTAGTAGCAGCAGTTGTAGTAGGAGTAGTAGTAGTAGTAGTAGTCGAAGTAATGGTAGTAGTAGTGGAAGTAGTAGTAGTAGTAGTAGTAGTAGTAGTAGTAGTAGTAGTAGACGTAGTAGTAATAGTAGTAGTAGTAGTAGTAGTAGTAGTAATAGTCGTAGTCGTAGTAGTAGCAGTCGTAGTAGCAGTAGTCGTCGTGGTGGTAGTGGTAGTGGTAGTCGTAGTAGTAGTAGTAGTAGTTGTTGTTGCAGTAGTAGTAGTAGTAGTAGTTTTGATAGAAGTAGTGATAGTAGTAGTAATAGTAGTCGTAGGCGTAATCGTAGTAGTAGGCGTAGCAGCAGTAGTAGTAGTAGTAGTAGTCGCAGTAATGGTAGTGGTAGTGGTAATGGTAGTGGTAGTGGTAGTAGTAGTAGTAGTAGTAGTAGTAGTAGCAGTAGTAGTAGTAGTAAAAGTACACGTAGTAGTAGTAGTAGTAGTCGTCGTAGTAGTAGTAGTATTCGTAGCAGTAGTAGTAGTAGTAGTAGTAGTAGTAGTAGTAGTAGTAGTAGTAGTAGTAGTAGTAGTAGTAGTAGTAGTAGTAGTAGTAGTAGTAGTAGTAGTAGTAGTAGTAGTAGTAGTAGTAGTAGTAGTAGTAGTAGTAGTAGTAGTAGTAGTAGTAGTAGTAGTAGTAGTAGTAGTCGTAGTCGTAGTAGTAGTCGTAGTAGTAGTAGTAGTAGTAGTAGTAGTAGTATTAGTAGTAGTAGTAGTAGTAGTCGTAGTAGTAGTAGTAGTAGTAGTAGTAGTAGTAGTAGTAGTAGTAGTAGTAGTAGTAGTAGTAGTAGTAGTAGTAGTAGTAGTAGTAGTAGTAGTAGTAGTAGTAGTCGTAGTCGTAGTAGTAGTCGTAGTAGTAGTAGTAGTAGTAGTAGTAGTAGTATTAGTCGCAGTAGTCGTCGTCGTGGTAGTGGTAGTGGTAGCGGTAGTCGTAGTAATAGTAGTAGTAGTAGTAGTAGTAGTAGCAGCAGCAGTAGTCGTAGTCGTAGTAGTAGTAGTAGTAGTAGTAGTAGTAGTAGTAGTGGTAGTGGTAGTGGTAGCGGTAGTAGTAATAGCAGGAGTAGTAGTAGCAGTAGTAGGTGAAGTAGTCGTAGTAGTACTAGCCCCGGGCTCCGGGGCCCTCGAGCAGCGCGCCCCAGTCGGGGGCAACGACGGGGGGGGATGCGCACAGGGGGGGACGCATCGACCCCAACGATAGGGGATAGGGCTGGAGAGTAGGCATAGGTTCTCGGTCGTTTTCGATTCGAGGTTCTAGGTTTTCGGTCGTTCTCGTTGGTTCGCGGCGGCTTTCCAGCCTCGTGATGCTTTCCAGCAGCTGCGCCTCGTCGAGGGGTTCTGGGGGTGCTGGAATCGTTACAAGCGGCCGCCGGAGGCTTGAGTTATGGCCCGAAAACCATGCGGGGATATGCATATGGAGGGATGCATCGACCCCCAATCGCCCATTGATCGCCGACAGGGGCCCGATAGCCCCGACCGGCCCAGGAAGGTGCGGATTCGTCATCGGGGGCATATCGCCGATCTATCGGCGACGTATCGCCGATGCCGATTCCAGGTTGATGCACCCCAATACCCTGAAATCCGACGTTGCAACAAAAATTGCAACATCGCAAAAAATCACGCCCGGAGCCCCAAACCGTATCTTGCTGCGTCATTTTTCGAGCCGGATCGATATGTGAGGGTCCTGGGGCCCGAGATTGAGCGAAGAAAACCCCCGCTTGGCTGATTGAGCGAGATTGAGCGAGAAACGCGCGGCGGGTTTTCGGCCGTGTTGGGTGATGGGCTTGTTTTGCACCACCACCACCGAAAGTAGGAGGGGAGGGGGTCCTCCTCCTCCTCCTCCTCCACCCCCTCCCCCTCCTCCTCTTCCTCCTCCTCCTCATCCTCCTCCCCCTCCTCCTCCCCCTCCTCCTCCCCCTCCTTCTCCTCCGCCTCCTCATCCTCTTCGTCCTCCTCGTCCTCCACCTCCTTCCCCCCCCCTCCAACTTTTTGATGGTGGTGGTGGTGGTGGCAAACATGCCCGTCATTAGGTTTCCGGGTAAACGGGCCCTCGCAGGCCCGAGAGGAGTGGTGCAGACCTCCGGGCCAAGCAGCGGCGAAGCGTCCCCGTTTGCCTACAGGCCCACCAGAGGATGCTCTGAGAGCTTGCGCGGGATGTTCTTGGAAGAGTTGATGGTGGGGACTGGCGTGTTTTAACACGACCGTCTTATGTTCTAAGAACACGGTTTGCGTTATGAGAAAAAATTGGCTCTCTGAGAGCATGTCGTAGTGGGCCTATAGGAATGCCAGGACGGTCGGTCCCTGCTCAACCAGGGACCCCCTGTGACCACGGGTCGAAGATTTGGAGCACGCGGATGTTTGGGTACACCTCCAGGGAGCCAGTCGGAGGCATTCCTTCCGAGGGCGTGCGCCCCCGTGGTGTTGTCCCATGGCCCAGCCTTGGAGCCGGCTGGGGGGGCTGAGAAGAGGGGGGGGGGCAGCTCCCCCCCTCGTCGCCACGGCTGGACGCGGCTCGAACGACTGGTCAGTTCCGAGCCCAGGATGGGTCCGGGGACCGATGTTGATCAGGAGGGGAAAAAAGATTGGCAAAATTATCAAGGCGAAGGACCCAACCATATGCCGCTGTGAGTGCCCATCACTGGTGTCGCCGCACTTCATGCTAAAGCACACGTTTTCGCGAACACCCTTTCTGAGGATCACCTATCAGGGACAACTTTAGGGGGGACAGGCTCCCGGGAGGACGCATCGGGCCCCAGTCGCCCGGTGCTCGCCGAGCCCGAGAAGCCACCCCGCCCAGGAGCGTGCAGTGTCGCGGTCGGGGGCCTGTCGCCGGTGCACCAGCGATGCGTCGCCGATTCCAGGTCGGGAGCCTTGAGACGGGGGTCAGTTCAAACAGGGGTCAGCCAGAGCGCCGGATCTTGCAGGATCCTGCAGGGACAGGGTCGGATTGACCTGGGTTTGGGTGCAGGATCCTGCAGGATCTTGCAGGATCCTTCGCAATGACCCGGGTTTGGGTGCAGACTCTTGCAGGATCTGGAGGATTCTGCAAGGCCTGACTGACCCGGGTCTGGATTGACCCAGGTCAGAAGATCCCACCAGGTCGACCATTCCCTCCTTGAGCCCGTCCCCACCCCAGCGTTGCCCCTCAAAGATGGCGCGACCGCAAGAGGGAGAAGGGAGAGGGAGGAGCCCTCCAGTTTCTTCTTGCTCGTCATCTCACATGATGATTCCCAGACGCCCTCAGACTTGATGTTTCAAGAATCGTTCCCCCCTCCATTTCTTATTGATCGTCATCTTACATGGTTATCAGACGCCCTCAGACCTGATGCTTCAAGAATCGTTCCCCCCTCCATTTCTTATGGATCGTCATCTGACATGGTTCCCAGACGCCCTCGGATTTGATGTCTCAAGGATCGCCCCCCCCATCCAGATCTTATGGATCGTCATCTGGCATGGTTCCCAGACGCCCTCGGATTTGATGTTTCAAGGATCGCCCCCCCCATCCAGATCTTATGGATCGTCATCTGGCATGATTCCCAGGCGCCCTCGGATTTGATGTTCTCAGCTCCGCGGCCCCCGAGGTCCCCACCCCTGCCGCGGGGGTGTCTTCGCTTGCGCCCCGAGGCCCTGCCCGATGGCCCTGCGCGGCCCGGGCACGGGGGAGGAGGAGGAGGAGGAGGAGGAGGAGGAGGAGGAGGAGGAGGAGGAGGAGGAGGAGGAGGAGAGCCACACGGAGACTGCAGCGATCCTCTCGTCGGGGCTCTGTGGGCGGTGGCCGAGGCTCGCCGTGGCCAGAGGAGACCTTGCGGCATCCTTGGCTTGCCTCCCTTTGGTATCGGGGGCGGCAGGGAGGGGGGTGAGGACTGGGGAGGGGTGGATATCATGGCGTGGGCCACGACATCTCCCCAGATTTCATGGCGCCTTTTCCTATGGCATTGCGTTCCTGGCCCCCCCTCGGGCCGCGCACATGCCGCCGGCCATGAATTCCACCCCCTCCTCTTGGACGCCCCCCTGATGGCCGCCCCCGATTTCCATCCGAAGGCTCACAGTGGAGACCGTGGAGACCTCGAGTGATCCAAATGGGGCTCCAGCGATAGGTTTTGTGGGGTTGCACTAGATCTGGGGCGTGCAGTACAGTCTGGGGCGCAGATGTATTGCTGGATTTTCGCGTGCAACACATTACTTGCAATACAATGCTATCCGGCGCGATACGTTTGCAATGCAATTGCCTCAAATCTGTTGCACCACTCCCTGTCAGCTGGACCCCTCCTTTTGGGTCACCCAAATTACGTTCCGTCCCATCCGAAGGCTCACAGTGAAGACACATGCCAAGAAACACCCCTGCATGCATCCAGTGTGCCCTGAGTTTTCTTGGGTTTCGAGGGTTCTGCTATAGAGAGCGCGGCGTCCCCACACCCCAAGAGTCAATGGACACGTCCTGGGGTCTCGGGGTTGGGTTTCTTGTGGGAAGCATCTTGTGGTCGACTTTCTACTGTATCCCTGATTTCCGCCTCGTGGTGGCAAAATCACGACGGACGGCATTTGATTGTTTTCGTACTCGAGGGGCCCTTACCGAGCCCCAGGACCGTCCAAGAACTAGGCAGGCATAGAGCTCCCACGGAGCAAGCCCGTCAACAATCCCAGATCTCTGATCATCCGAATTGTTGCAATGCGGCAGTTTTTCTTAAATGTCGGCCTCTGGTACGCGTTTTCGGGCCCCGGGGCCATCAAAATGAATCCAGGGGAAAACATCAAATCAAACCAATGCTCAGGTCGGGACCTCTTCTGCCGTGGGAAGGAGCGCTACTCGAGGACGTGGCTATCACTGCCGTTGTCGCTGCCGTGCAAAAAAAACAGCGGGGGGGGCTTCGGGACCCCTCCCCCCCTCAGGGGCAACGACTGGGGGGAGAGGCTCAGGGTGGGGGCGCATCGACCCCCAATCGCCCATCCATCGCTGACAGTGGCCCGATGGCCCACTGCGCCGAGGAACATGCGGACTCCCCGTCGAGAGCTTCTCGGCGCGGCTTCGCCGATTCCGGCTCCGTGGCTCTCGGGTCTTAGCTCGGCTCTCGGGCGGCCGTTCGGGGTGATGCGGGCACCTCTGGCACGCTCTCTGCGAGGCGCAGCTGCCGGAGAGCACCCCAAGGCTGGAGGACCGCCGAGCGCTGGCGGACACGGCATCGAGCCCTCGAACCTCGAGCTGGAGCCTCGAGCTGGTCGATGCGTCCACCCCTTGAGGCGGTCCCCCCCCTACTCCTCCTCCGCCTCTTCCTCCTCCTCCTCCTCCTCCTCCTCCTCCTCCTCCTCCTGCTCCTCCTACTCCTCCCCATCCCCCTCCCTCCTCCTCCTCCTCCTCCTCCTCCTCCTCCTCCTCCTCCTCCTCCTCCCCCTCCTCCTGCTCCTCCTCCTCCTCCTACTGTCAAGAGGCTGCAAGGAGGGTCGCTTTGAGCTCAGGAGGGGCTCGGGCGTTCGGACAGCTCCTCAGCTCTGGGCTCGGCAGGGGCTCGGGTTCCTGGGGCGGTCCTGGCATGTACGTAGTGCAGCGTGTTTCAGGGGCGGCAAAGAGGGGGGTGATGACTAGGGGGGGGAGATCATGGCGTGGGCCATGATGCTTCCTCAGATTTCATGGCGCCTCTTCTTCTTGTAGAGGCCTCCGGCCGGTACCGCCAATCCGGGACGATCCCGCTGTCAGAAGGACTTTTTCGCCCCAGCCCGCTTGTTCAAACGTAAGTGATTTGGAAACAGCTTTGAGGCATTGCGTGGGCTTCTTGACTGGCCTCTACGACGCATCTTCGAGGCCTCCTGGGGGGGCGTCTTGGAGGTGATTGTTGAGCATCTTGGGGGCCTTTTGGGCTTCTTGGTGAGCAGGCAGGAGGCATCCTGGAGGCCCCCTGGGGGTGTGTAGGAGCTAATTTTTAAGCCTTGGGAGCGCGTTTGGGTGCCTTTTGGGGGCCTCTTGCAGGCCACTTGGAGCCTCTCGGGGTCTCTTGGGACTCCTAGGGCCATTTTGGTGCCTCCTGGGCGCCTCTTGGGCCGTGTTGGGGCCTTCTGGAGCCGTCATGGAGCCCTCTTGGGCGCTTCTTGGGCCCGTCCTGGGGCCCGCTTGGGCTGTCTTTGGGGCCTCCCGGGCCGTCTTAGGCCCTTCTTGGGCCGACCTGAGGCCCTCTTGAAAATCTCTGTGCCTGTTTTGAAGGTCTCTTGGGCCGTGTTGGACACTGCGAAGGCCGAAAAAGCGACAATGCAAAACATGCACGTTTTCCGAAGGGAATGGGACAGATGTTCCATGTTTGGGCACTCTTAGGAGGTGTTGGGAGGGTACGTTGGAGGCTCTTTGGAGCCGTCTGAGAAACATATTGCGCGTCTTGGAACGATGTTTCGGCCACTCAGGGTCCTCGGGGGCCGTCTGGGCGGCCGATGGGTTCTTTATGTGCCCGCGTTCGAGCTCTCCGGGGCGAGGGGCCGACCCGGAGTGAGCTGGAGTTCCGATTGTGCCACCGAAATTGAGTCAGAACCCCCCCCCCCCCCCGAACCTTGGCAGAGCCACCCCGGCACCCACCCCCCTCAGCAGAGCTGAAGCTCAAGAACTGAGGCTCAGGCTACATCTGAGGGTCTCTGAAACTCACACGCCAGATCGGCGGATTTCGGTACGTCCCTGGCCGCTCCCCCTCCCCCTGGGCCGCGCACATGCCGCCGGCCATGATTTGCGCCCCCCCCCCTTTGGACGCCCCCCCGTGGCCGCCCTCGAATGTCTGTGGCCTAGGCCCGCCGCAGCCAGGAAGGCGCCTTCGTTCCTCGTGGTCGCACGACGGCCCCATCGTTGCCCCGTCGCCCTCCCTCCGCGCGCGCTGCCCCGAGCCCGCGGCTGCAGCAAGAGCGGCGCGCGCCCTCCCGCCCATGGCCCGGCTCCGGGGATGGAGGCGCGCGGCTCGCCGCTCCCGCGGGGGGGGCGCCCCTCGAGGGTCAGGTGGCTTCGGCAGCAGCACCACCGCACCACGCGTCAGCAGCAGGTGCCCCCCGTTTGGGGTAACTTCCACAGAATCTCGGCATTGCAGTGCGATGCTGCACGGGAGGAGGTCGATCGTCGTCCTCCCTTCCGTGTTCCGTGCCAGGAGAGCCTTCTGTCACAGGCTTGTGAATACTCCGCTCACGTCTGATGTCATTATGGAATAGCTATTCCAAGCGCAGCCCGCATCTGGTTTTCGCGAGGTGCATTGAATTGGACTGGTCGCGCCCATTCGTCGGCAGGTTGAGCTTCGGCCGCCGATTGCGCAGCAGATGGCACGACCAGCGCCACGCCCCACCAGAGTGTACCGCACAGGCCCACAGGTCGTGGCGCACCAGTGGCAGGCTGTTTCAGGTTCGGCCGCAGCGTGTGCAGCCGACGGCGCCACCAACAGCAGGCCGTGCCTCGTCCTCGCCCGCCGAGTGCGCAACCTGTGCCGCAGCCAATGGCAGGCCTCTGTCTTCTCGCCCGCCGAGTGCGCATGCCATGGCAGGCTGTTGTGTGCTCGTCCGCCGGCTGTGCGGCCGATGGCGCCATCATATGCTGCAGTGCGTTCGGGCCTCTTTGAGGGTCTGATTCGGGCAGAGGGGGTCCACTGACCACCATGCGTGCAGCGAGTCCCACACGAGCATTCAAGCCGAGAGCCCATGCATGGAAGCGCACGCTGGTCGCTGGAATATCGGGTCTATCATACGTTCATCTTCCGTCCCCCATCTCAGACTCAAAGCCACTACAGTAGCATCGCATCTCAGAGTCCAAGTCAATGCAGTGGCATCATAGCCATTTTGGCTCAGGCTGTTTTGCCCCACCAGGCTGCTCTGCTGGCCCGAGTCGCGCTCTCCGTGCCGACAGCCATGGCGTGCCGGCGGACTCGCCTGGCGTCATCCCGCAGGGCCGCGGTGGTCGAGCAAGAAAAGTTGCACGAGCATGAATTTCCTGAGCTCAATGCGGGTTTCGAGGTCGGCGCCGTGTCTGTGGAGTGTGCACCATGCGAGTCAGGCCCCCTGCCCTGGCGCGCTCCGCGCGCCAGGGAGGCCCAGCGCCGATCCAAGACATCCGAACGGGCCTCCCTTCACATCCATTGCGTCGGTGATAACCAAATGGAGCCGAAGAATCGTGGGTGGACAGAACCCCCACCCTGACACGTCGATCAGTGAACTGTCCCGTCTCGGTGCTCGAGACGGCGCCGCGGCCGTCATCTTCCATGTTTGCGCCCGCCAAATTTGGGCCCGAGGTCGTGTTCAGGAAACCACGTTTTGCTGACAGTCGACCCGCAGCGTAAGGATAGGCATCCCTCCCAAGGGTACCCTTGCATCCTTGCTTCCTGGGTCCATCCTTGGACACTTTCGTTGGCCGCGCCCCGCTCGAAACGCTTCGAAATGGGCGTCCGAGGGCCCTGCATCCTTATCTCGCATCCTTACTCTGCGGGTTGACTGTAAGGGAGTTCTGTCCATCCCCGGGAGAGATCCGCGCGGAGCTCCGGAAGGCTGCGGCTGCTTGTGCCTCGGCTCCCAGGTGGGCCTGTGCGCCCTGCTCGCCGCCGCGGCCTGCGCCGCGGTGCCCAGGGGTCGCGCAGCGGGCGCGGCGGCCTTCGTGCCGGGGCAGAGCGGCAGTGGGGGCGATCGAAATGGGTTCTGCACGAACGAGATGGGTAATTACGGAAAGAACGGGTGCAATGCCCAACAGCATTTCTGGTTCATTTTGAACAGGACTCGCTGTCCGCGCCACCGCGGCCTGTGTCCATTCGAGCCAGAAGGCCGCCTGTCCAACAGCGGCCGCTGTTGGTTTGGGACAACACTTGTTGTTGGGCATTGTACCCATTCTTTCCGTACCCATTTCGGGAGTCCAAAGAAATGGGTGCGGTACAATCAATAGTCGAGTAGGGGGTCGACTACATGATTGATTTGCCCCGAAATTGATCCGCTCGTCGAATCTGCAAACAAGTACGTAGGTACGTAGGATCCCCGTAGATCTGCGAGGACGAAGAGCATTTGTCCCCGATTCGACGACCAGTTCAATTTCGGGGTAGATAATCCTGCAGTCGATCCCGTACTCGCAGTAGTCACGCTGAGATATCGGAGGGCTCTCGTCACGGGGCATCGGGCTCCTTCGCGGCACGCGCTGCCCCGTGACCTCTCCCCGCGGCCGTGGAGAAGCTGCTGCGCTCGGGGCTCTCTGGGTTCCCGCCTGCCGCACCTCGCACGTTTTGCGTCGGGGGCTCGGCATGGGCAGCTGCGCTGGCGGAGAGCCAACCGAACAGGGGCACCGTTGCAGCGAATTGTGCCACGATGCTAGGAGAAGTGGACAGGACAGAAGCAACGGCGGAGGGAGGGGAGGAGAGGAGCGAGGCAGCTCAGGGGGACGGGTCACGCCCGGAGGTCGCACCTCGCACACGGATTTTCATGGCTGGGCTCCGTGCGAGGATCTTTGGCTGCCGCGCCCGCACTGTGCAGCTGAGACGCGGACATGAGGACCGCTCTGGGTTCGGAAGGGGCTCGCTGATCCTGAAATCCTTACGCGGTCGTTCCTCTCTAGCCTGATGTGCCCATTTTCCACCACCACTACCACAGGTAGGAGAGGAAGGAGGAGAAGGAGGAGGAGGAGGACCTCCTCATCCCCCCTTCTCCCCCGTCCTGCACGTAGTAGTGGCGGCGGAAAATTTACCCATCATAGCCCTCCTCGTGCACCCAGGCGCTCTTGGGGCCAAAACGGGGCCTCGCTCCTTATTCATCTTTCTTTATTGCGAAGGCCTTACGGCCGTTGCCGCCGACCCTGAAGATGACGAAAGACAACACGAGGGGGGGGCAGGAGGAGGAGGAGGAGGAGGAGGAGGAGGCGGAAGGGAGTAGGAGGAGGAAGGGTGAAGGGGGAGGAGGAGGAGGCCTTATGGATGTTGGTTGGGATCTCGTGGTAGACCTCTCGCCTCGCTCCTCATTCATCTTTCTTTATCTCAGCAGCCCGGCTGTCCGGCAGGTTCGTGCCGTGTCGACGCGGCGGCGACGCCAGCGTGGGCGTTCGAGATTGACTGCCGCGAGTGGTCCAGAGTCGGCCAATGTTCAGGAGGGGAAAGAAACACACAGACACAATTCATCGTCGACTCCCAGGAAAATATGCAAAAATATGGGAAGTGGTGGGGAAGACAAAAACCCAGAAATTATGGGAAAATATGGGGGATATTTTTATTTGTGTGTATTTATTTGTGTGTTCCAGTTCCCCTTCAAATGTGGAAGGCCCTGGCGAGCGAAAAGCCTCTGATCGTTCAAGGCTGAGCGATCCATGCGGTGTCAGAAACCAACGCTGGGGTCGTCGCGACACAGACCCGCCGGACCGCAGAAGTGGTGACCAGTGCCGGCAGCAGTTCGTTCCCATTTTGATCAGGCCTCGCTGTCGGCGTCTCCGCGAACTTTGTCCATGGCGCTGCCGCGAGGGGAGGGAAGGAGGGGAGGTGGCCGGTCACGGTGCCCTTCGCGTCGGTGCTGTCATGGGAATGGCTCAGAATCGCTCATTCCCAGGCAACGCTGGCGCGAATCGTCCGGGGGGGGGTCGGGGGACGGGGGGGGCGCGACCGGTCACGGGCGTTGTCGCGAATAATGCAAGGACGGGGCCAGGTATGGAAGACCTGGTAACGAAGACAAAACATCATTCTTTGTTCTTTGAGCAGGACCCGCTGTCGGCGTTCCCGCGAACACTTCCCATTTGAGAGAGGGACTCGCCTGTCAATCAGCGGCCGCTGTCGGTTTTGGACGCCATTTGTTCTTGGGCATCGTGCCCATGTTCGCCGTATCCAGTCTTGGCGCCCAAAGGCAAGCAGCGCCCGCCTGGGCGCGGGGAGGCCAAGGGCTCGGAGGGCACGCTGCGGTCACGCTCTGCGTCGACGGGCTCAGCTCTCGACGATGCAGTGCCCGAGTGGTGGACGGAGCTCAGAGGAGGGAAAAGTACGGATGCCGCTGCCCTAGCCTAGTTTTCGCCTGTTTGGGCCTGCCGGGAAGCTCTCGTGGCCACGGCTGGTCAGAACGTACCCCGGGAGAGGTCCGGGGAGCAGAGGTTTCGAGTATCTTTGTGCCTCCCAGGAGCAGCATGGAACGGCGCTGGACGTCTTGTCGTTCGTGTTCTGGATGACGGCGGCGTTCCTGGCCTGGGAGCACTACGCGACAAAGATCAGCGCGCACTGCAACGGGAGCATGGTCCTTGGCCTCTCTGGCCACTGGCTCCCGAACAGCTCCCCGCTCTGCCAGCTGGTCTCTTCCAGCCAGTGACCAGGGGCAACATCAACTGGGGGGTGATCGGCTCGGGGGGGATGCACCGACCCCAAGGCGCCCATTTTCGTCGCCGAGACGGGCCCGAGGGTCCCCCCCCCCGCTCAGGACCGTACCGTTTGGCTAGCGGTCGGCGGCGAGCGAGGGGGGGGGGACAGTGAGAAGGAGGAGGCCTTCGCAGAAGATTCGGATGTCCCCTGGCCTTCCGAGAAGCTTTCTGAGCCTTCTCCCCGAAAACAGAAACAGAGACTTCTGAGAAGGCGCGCGAGGGCTTCTGCGAAGTCCCGCCGCCTTCTGAGAAGGCCGTCTCCTTCTCACCTCCCCCCTCGCTCGCCGCCAACAGTCGTCGCCGAGACGGGCCCGAGGGTCACCCCGCTCAGGACCGTGCCGCTGCTTGGCTACGGGGGGCCCTGTCGCCGATCGCTCGGCGGCGCATCGCCGACGCCAGGTCGAGCTCTCCCCCGGTGAGCTGGTCGCCCCCGCGAGACGCGTCCCCCCTCGAGAGAGCAGCAGAGCAGAGCGCGCAGGCCTTGATGCTCGAGGCCAGCTGCTCGCCCAGCGAGGGTCCGACGGGGCTCGCCCTCCCAGATGCTCACGTCGAGCACTTCGTCGTCGCCGAGTCGAGCTCATGGCGAAGCGGGGAGTTCGTCTGCCGAGGGCGCCCTCGTCGCGGCGTGTGCTCGAGCGTGAGCGCCTCAGCCGGGCGCTTGCGTCGTACCGTGGGGGCGCCGAAGAGGGAGCCCTGTTCGCTGGGGAGGGGCTCGGTGCTCCTTGCTCGTTTCACAGTTTGCCCTTCGGTTCTCGGGAGGTTGTCCAGGTGACATCGAAGCTTAACTTATGGGAAAAATGGGCCTCGTTCCTCAGTTTAGGATGTTCCAACCTACTTCAGCCTTGACCACCAGAAAGAATTTCGAGCGCACCTTGAAAGTCGAGGGTTTTCACGCGTCGGGCCCTGGGAGACGCTGTTTCGACACTCTTTCGACACTCTCTCGACACTTTTCTCTTGGAACTCGAAATTATTTCTGGGATGTGGTCCTTGCGTACGATGGGAGCAACATGATCCTCAGTCAGGGTTCCTTGGGTCAACGCCCCGACCGTAGTGCAGTATAGTCCGCGTGCGCGGCCTAATTTTAGTACGTTCCGCATGCAGCAGTGCCTGCGCCTCTGCCTGCTGTTTCAAACACTTATGAAAGGTAGCCTTACGTCGGGCCTGTCCCTCCGCAGGAGGAATATTCAATAAAGACATGTTTGATAATGTTTGAGCATCTTTGGAGTCTGTTTTCTTTTTCGTTCGACATCCCCCTGCACGGGGACATGCCCGACCTAAAGGTAGCCGACCCTAGCGGCTTGATGTGTGCGAGTGCCTGTGTTGGGCGCTCGCGCAACACGTGCAGCTCCGTTTGAAGGCGCGGCCCGAATTCATCATATTACATTTAATCGCTTCGCTCATGCCGCCGGCCCTGGAGCCCTCTTTAGGGCCTCTTGGGGGCCTCTTGGGGACCTCTTGGGAGTCTCTTGGGGCTCCTTGGCGGCGTTTTGGAGGCCCCCAGGGCCTCTTGGGGGGCTCTTGGGGGTAGTCGATTGCGGCTCCCCCCTCGGAGGCCACGATCCTCGTGAGGGGTGTCGAAAAATACCCTCCCCTGGAGTGGTCTGGTGGCTTCTCCCGGGCTTCTCTCGGGACCTTGCTGGGGTACTTTTCGTCCGGGGGCCCCCAGGGGCCGCTCCGCGCGCGCGCGAACTAGAAATATTGTTAACAAGTTACCGGAGATCTTAGCACGCCTCTGGCCCGTTGGGCCGGCGAATAGCAGGATGTTGTGAGCCTGTGTCGTGCGAAGACGCGAGATACCAGCAGCTCGACGCAGGCGCTCGTAGGGTACGCCTTTGCAGTTTGCGCGGGCCTGCTGAAGATGAAAGCCCTGCAGAGGACTTTTTAACCGCCAGGGGAACGGCACTTCCCCCAAAAAGCGAGCCGGTGCTGCAGCACAGCGGGGCCGCGCGTCAAGAAATCGAACGCTTTTCGCCACGCGGCCTCGGGTTTCTTCGCTTCGCTCGCCAGGCCGCGACGAGGACCGCCTGCAGGTCCGCCCTCATGTGGTGCCCGCCGTGGAAAGCCGGCGGCGACCCAGACTGGTCGATGTGTTGAACGATCTGACGTTTCGGACACGGCCAATCGTTCATTCGATCGTTTTCTGATTCACTGTTTTGCCGATCGGCGCGGGCCCTCGCACCGCCCCCTCCCCCCCCCGCCTGTGGGGTAGATATTGCTTGTTTTGGGCGCCTGGTTCGGGCAGGTGGAGTCTCCCCCATAGGACGCGCTGCAAACAGTCGCATTAAGCAGAGGTCGGGAGCTAGAAACCCTCCTCCCACTTCCCCTTCCGCCCAAAGTCGAATCGCCGAATAAGAGAACGATCACCATGGTTGAACGATCCCCGAGGTGTCAGGAACCAACGCCGAAGTCGGTACGATGCGAGGCTGCCGCAGCGCTATCAGTACGAGTTCTCCAAAAGCCCCGACACTTTGCCGGGGTGGCGTCTTTCAATGCTGAGCTGTGTTCTGATGGCCCGGGGGCCCCGAAGATTTCTCCTAGATGCCCCAGGCTGCGACAAAAGCGGTCAGCCCTATTTGTTGTTGTCCGGGCCGCCGCGTGGTCGGGCTTTTCGTCCTCCTGCCAGGGGTACGACTGCGGCAGCGGCAACCACGACGGCCTCGACGACGACGACGACGACGACGACGCTGACCGACCTGCGACGACCGCGATCTCCAACTCTTTGAACTCGACTGAGGATGTAATTCCCCGAATGTCAGATGCAGCAGCGGCCTTGACCTATCCGTGGTCGAGCACATGCCTAATGCAGCATGTGTCCATGCGATTCCGTTCGATCCCGCTCAATCTTGCACAGGCTGGCTCGATTTGGTTAAATCCCGTTTCATACCGTAATCGTAGGCGTGGGCGTACACATTTTTTGGAGGCATGGCTAGACGGGAACCAATTTGTGTAGACGAAATAGAATTCAGAGCATGCAAGGTCGCCTCAGCAAGCCTGGGCTTGGCTGAGGGCAACTGTGGCGAGGCTAACCTTCACTCGCAGACGCTTTCGCGGTCCCACCTCCTCCAACTTTATGGCATTTGGGGGAGGAGGCAGACCGCCCTCAAGGTACTCAAAACCCCTCCGAAGTGGAAATCGGTGGGGAGGCACCGTTGAGGGGAGCGCTCGCTTCTCTGCTGGCTGGCTGGCTGGAGGCTGTGTCGGCCCCCGCTTCTGGGCGGCGCCTCGCAGGGCTCTGTCCTCGGCACTCGCAGCCTCCATTTCGCGAGGAGGCAACACACATCCATATCCGCGGCCTCGCAGGCCGGGCCCAAAGGCCGCGACCCCGCGGGTACGGGCCGTTTTTTTCGCAGATGCCCCAGTCCCGCTCAGAACGTATCCGTGCGACCGCGTACCCGTGGGATCTCCCCCCATGATCCAGTTTGCGAGGGTGCGGATACAGAGATCCGCGGCTCGTGACTCACGAAGACCTCTCGGGAGTTGCCTCCGAATTCGACGGCGACATCGACGACGACGACGACGACGACGTCGACGAGCGCGCCAGGTGTATGCCTGGGGCAGCGGCAACTACGGCCGACTCGGGCTCGGCCACGGGGCAGACGCGCCAGTGCCGCGGCGGGTGGGCGGCGTGCTGAACGGCTGCGAGGTCACGAGCACCTCCTGCGGCTGGTGCCCCGCTTTCGCCCATCGGAGGGTGGCCTAGGTGCTTGCCCAGATCTCCGACGATACAGTGGAGACCCATGCCAAGAAACGCTCCGCTTGCCTCCAGGGTACCCTGGGTCTCTTGGGTTCCGACGTTTTTTCTCCGTGGAGAGCGTGACGTTCCCGCACCAAAAATCCATGGACGTCCTGGTGTCTCAGGGTTGGGTTTCTGATTGGAAGGTTTTTGGACTGGCCTCCGCTGCATGACTTGCTCAGTCCCGGCGGCTTCCCCTCGGCTCAGACCGTTCACCCGGAGCCCAGCGCCGACCTGGCCGTGCTTCTGCTCCCTATTCGGAGGTGGACAGAACCCCCAACAGTGACACGTCGATTAGTGAATTGTCCGTTTTTCGGTTCTCGAGATGGCGCCGTGGCCGTTATTTTCCAGGCTTGCGCCCGCAAGGTTTGGGCCTCAGGTCGTTTTCACTAAACCACGTTTTACTAAAGGGGGGTCTGTCCATCCCCGACTTCTCCGCGGGTGGGAATTCGGGACGGCGGCGACGCGGCACGTGGCGGCGAGGGAGAGGAGCGGGGCGACGGCTGCTGGTGCCCGCCTCTCTGGGGGTGCTCACCACCCACCAAACCACCCCAACCCAACCCGAAGGCCTCAAATTGACCTCCAGTTCCAGTGGGGGGGGGGGGGTCGGGGAACATCGAGAAAACACAGATGGAACCCGTACCCCCCCCAACCCGAAGTTCGGGTCTTCGGGTTGGGTTGGGGTGGTCTGGTAGTCAGTCAGATGCGGATCGGGGCGGTGGCGACAGCCGATGACGATTCGCCAGTGGAGGTTCTCACCGCCACGGCGGGACGCAGCTCGAGCATCCTGCCGTGATTGGCCACCTGCGGGGGACAGCCGGCGTCTCTGAACGCCCAGTTCTCCGTCGCAGCGTTCACCGGGCTCGCCGCCGAGCAGTGGGAGGTCTGGAGTCGGCGCCGTGCAGCCCGCGCCCGCGCCAGGTACCACTCGGCCGTGGTCACCTCCACAGGCAGGGCCGGCCCCGTCCCTCTTCGGCGCGCTCGCGCACGCATCGCCCTCGGGCGTCGCGTACACGCCGGTCGTTGAAAGTAGTGCGTTCCGGATGCCCAAGTTCAGTCTTAAGGAGGGAAAAATCAATTACAGACACAATGAATGGTCGATTCCCAGAATATATGGGAAGTGGGGAGGAAGACGAAAACCCAGAAAATACGGGAAAAGATTGGGAATCCTTGGATTTTGTGCGCATTTATTTGTGTGTCCCTGGCCCCTTCAAATCTGCTTCAGGGACCTGCCTCTTCCCTCCTTTCCCGCCAGGGTCGAGCGCCTTTCCCTCTGCCCTCTTCTGTAAAGGACGGGCGAGGGAGGAGGACTGACTATGGTTATGAATGCGGGTTGTTGGACCCGGGCGAGGCTGCCATTTGAGCGGGGACCCCCATCCCACAACGCGCACCCACAGCCCCCTATTCCCCCCTACGGATTCAGGTGTGTTGCTCATTCGCAAAAATAAGAGAGGAACCCTACACTCTGGGGCCCAAACGTGCGCGAAAGGTGCACGTATCTGCGCCCCCGTTTGGTGCCCCCCATTGAGCGGCGCCCAAGGCGTGGGGCTCTTCGCCGCTGCCGTCGTTGCAGTCGCCGCCGCCGCCACCGCCGCCGCCGCCGTTGTCGTCGTCGTCGTCGTCGTCGCTGCTGTCGTCCTGTCTCGGCGGCAACACCTCGAAACCTACACTCGCCGATCAACGATAATTCAGGCAATTCGATGGGCGTCCTGGGTAGGGTTCGGAAGTTGTTGAACACGTTGCGACATACTAACGCTACCCCTGGCTCCCATCGAGTCAGGAGAATCGATCGTTGGTGGGGATAGGGTTTGGATGTCGCCACCTACGTACGCCGTCGCCGCCGCAGCCATGGCCGCTAGAGCTTATTTTTGAGGAGACTCTGGCAAGTTTGCTTGCACGGAGGGGGCACTCACCAGCGGGACCCCGAGCGAAAGTTGAAGATCTTGCAAGCCGAAACGTGCTCGCGCGTTCCTTCGGCCCAGCACTGAATCAAAAGGTGGCGAGGAGGCAGGCAACAAGCCATCCGAGTACACTTGTCAGGATCCTCCAGAATCTAAATGAGACAAGTCTCCTTCACTGCCGTCGTCCCCGACGTCGCTGCCGACGTCGCCGTCGTCGTCGATGTTCGAGGTTCGGGCATCGATGGTCAGTATTTTTGTGGGCGTCTTTGAGCGTTTCTGGGCCTTCCGCAGTTCCAGAAGGGCCAAAGGGTTTCAAATGTTGCCGCCTGCCATGCCGACGCAAGGCGTTCGCGTGGACCTGAAGTGAATTGTTTTGTTTTGACGTTGTCGCTCCAGTATTCCCCAGTGGCCATGCAGAGGATCGGGCCGGGCGTAAGAGGGGAAAACGTCATCTGCTGCCGGGCACGTTCCTTACGCATGGCCGCCTCTAGTGACGGATGGCGCTAGGGGAACAAACAGAAATGTAGCTGATCATTCGTTACGCCCTCGTTTGCCACCCTCTGAGATCTGACATCGCCAGACAAGACACATTCAATGCCCCGAGACATCACGGCTGAACCCCTAGAATCCACAGCTCCCGCGCCGCAATGCGCCTAAGGCCGCCGGAAACCGGTCAAGACCGCCATAGCTTGCCGAAGCTCGTCAGAGGACCGTCTTAAGGCCGCCCATGGACGACGGGAACGGTAGGTTCGTGTCGTGTCGACCAGCGGCGACTTTGTCGCCAGCGTTCATGGTTGAACGCCGCTGGGGGCCCAGAATCGGTCGATGTTGAACAATCTGACGTTCCCTCGGCTTCGCACGGACGTGGGCATGTTTTCTCGGCGATGATCAGCGAGGAGCATTCTGGATCATCGTGCGAAACATACGCGCGAAACCGAGCAATGCACGTGGAATGGGCGTCCGAGCGATGGTGAGTTTCAAAAACGGCCAATCGGTCAAGGTTGAAGGAGACCATCGCCGGGGTCGCCCCGACACAGACCTGCAGTAACCAGGGGGGTCCATGGCCGAGTGCGCGCCCTCCTCCCCCCCCCGGGAGGAGGATCGATGCGGCCCCCGCCCGCCGCCTGGTCGAGACAGGTAGGAGGATCGATCCGACCCACGCCCGCCGCCTCGGATGCGGCGTGCAGCTGCTCTGACGTACGGTCGCACCGAGGTATAAGATCGAGGTTGCTTCGGTGAGGGTACCTTAATGTTCTTGGTGCTTGTTGGACGTCTTGTGCATCCTGGGGGAGGGCACCCTCGAGCGTTCTTCAAGTTGGTCGGCGGCGGGTCTCATGTTCTTGAAGGGTGTTCTTCTGTCTTAGATCCGACTGTACAACATTAGCTCCGTTGGTTTGAGTCGGGCCTGTCCCTCTACAGGAGGAATATTCAAACATGGTAAACAATAGTCTGGGGACTTTTTTGGGGTATGTTTTTTATTAACACCAGTATGGATTTTGTTTTTGACTATTGTTGAATATTCCTCGGACAATGGCCTGTAGGGGACAGGCCCGACCTAACCGTAGGCCGATGCTGCTTCCACGCTGCCCGTCTCGCTCGGCCCGCCTTCGGCGCGCGTCCGCGCGCCTTTCGAGCCGGGGGCGCCGACGAGGGGGGGGTGGCGCGAGGCAGTGGGCGTCCGAAGGGGCAGCTGAGACGGAGGCAGGGGGGGCTTCTTCTGCAACGCCCGCACGGCTCTCCAGAAGCCTCCTCAGAAGCCCCCGGGGGCCCCTCGGAGAAGGCCCCTCTGCCTTCTGAGAGCCCCGACCGCCTCACGTCGCGGCCGTGGCCGGGAGGAGGAGGAGGAGGAGGAGGAGGGAGGAGGAGGAGGAGGAGGAGGAGGAGGAGGAGGAGGAGGAGGAGGGAGGAGGAGGAGGGGAGGAGGGAGGAGGGAGGAGGAGGAGGAGGGAGGAGGGAGGAGGGAGGGAGGAGGGAGGAGGGAGGAGGGAGGAGGAGGAGGGAGGAGGGAGGAGGGAGGAGGGAGGAGGGGAGGGAGGAGGAGGGAGGAGGGAGGAGGGAGGAGGGAGGAGGGAGGAGGGAGGAGGGAGGAGGAGGAGGAGGAGGAGGAGGAGGAGGAGGAGGAGGAGGAGGAGGAGGAGGAGGAGGAGGAGGAGGAGGAGGAGGAGGAGGAGGAGGAGGAGGGAGGAGGAGGAGGAGGGAGGAGGAGGAGGAGGAGGAGGAGGAGGAGGAGGAGAGAGGAGGAGGAGGAGGAGGAGGAGGAGGAGGAGGAGGAGGAGGAGGAGGAGAGAGGAGGAGGAGGAGGAGGAGGAGGAGGAGGGAGGGAGGAGGAGAGGAGGAGGAGGAGGAGGAGGAGGAGAGGAGGAGGAGGAGGAGAGAGGAGGAGGAGGAGGAGGAGGAGGAGGAGGAGGAGGAGGAGGAGGAGGAGGGAGGAGGAGGAGGAGGAGGAGGAGGGAGGAGGAGGAGGAGGAGGAGGAGAGGGAGAGGAGGAGGAGGAGGAGGAGGAGGAGGAGGAGGGAGGAGGAGGAGGAGGAGGGAGGAGGAGGAGAGGAGGAGGGGAGGAGGAGGAGAGGAGGAGGAGGAGGAGGAGGATGAGGAGGAGGAGGGAGAGGAGGGAGGAGGAGGAGGCGGAGGAGGAGGAGAGCCGTTTGCCCACTCGGGGTGGGGCGGACGACGCCCCACGCGCGGGCGGGCGGCAGCGCGGTGGCCGCGATAGGGGCTGCAGCAAGGGGGAGGACCCCGCACACCCCTTGCAGCGGCGGCGGCCCCTGGCGGCAGTTCGCGGCGGGCCAGGCTGTGCGCGGAGGCGCTCCCGTGGCAGACCGCCCACCAGGCACAGGCAGGCCAGACGGCCAAACGTCCTGAGGGCGCTGCGCACCGTCGCCGCAGGCGACAGCGTGCCCAGGCCAGGATCCTGCTGAGAGTCGCGAAGGCCAAGAAGTTGCTGAGCGCTCATCACTCGGCGCAGCGTCCATCTTTCGGCATGACGACCAAAGGCGGAGGACGAGGAGCTGCAGCAGATCGAGCAGGAGGTACTCCAAACTGGAAATGTATATCGTGTTGAATTATAAATCATGGTGATGATCGGTGTCGAAATCGAAAGTGTGGAATTTCATATCGACAACATTGTCAAAGAGTCCACGATGACAATTTGAGGTCGAAAGATGCGGCCAAGTTGAAGGAGGATTGCAAACAATGTATTCAGGAGATGATGATGTGCACCACGGATTATGCTAAGAACAGCCAGCTATATCGTACTCCTCCAACAGGCCAGAGTGCATTGACGCGCCATCGTGAAGAGTTGCAATCCAGGTAAACGACTCTGGCCGAGATTGCGTTGAAAGGAAAGGGGGCGATGACGAGCACACAGGCACATCAGAAAGAAATGGCAATTTTGAAGTATATGTTGTGGGAGATGAAGGCACAATCAGCTAAAGAAAAAGAAGCTCGGGATGGTCTACAAAGATCGTCCAACAAACTGGAGGCTCTCAAGAAGCAGCAGGCATCGATCGAGACGGACATTTTGCTGGAACAGGACACAATTTTGCATTGGAAAGACCTTGAGCGCGAAGCCAAAGAGGGAGGAGATCGTTCACCCCCAGGAGCCGACGACATTGGTCATGATCGTAGAAGAGCACTCGCGGTGTCAGTACCCAGGGACCTCATCAATGCCAAAGAAGAGGTGCCGCCTCCACCGCCTCCTCCGCCACCCCCGCCAAGCACGAAGGCACCGCAGTTGGCTCCAGCGACTTCTTCGAGACCTCCGTCATCATTTCCAACAGTTGGGCTTCAAGCGACGGGGGTAGTTGATGGAAAATACATAAGAGGCCATTCACCCACATCGCTGCACAGCTATATTCCAAGTGCAGGATCGGCGACACAGATCGGCGTACAGAACCCAAGTCAGCATACGGCCAGAATCGCGTGCAGAGAGGCGACCTCGATCCAATCGCCCACTCCAGGGTCTACTCCGCCAGCACTCACGGAGGAGGTTGAGGAAGTACGTCGTGGAATGAATGAGAGACGTGAACTACAGGAAGAAGCCAAGCATC